TAACACCTGAAGGTAATTTTAGAAGATTTATTTTCTACTGTTTGTATTTTCTGTTTTGTATATAACATAATTATTTATAAATTTCTTTTTTTTTTTCCACCAGAAATGATGGATTCATCGACTTTCAAAAGGTTTACTGCTTCAATAGAGAATATTTTGGAAAATTTGGAAGACATGGATTTTACAGCTTTCGGTAATATGTCAGAAATTTTCAAAATGGTTTCCCCAAACAGAAACACAAGAAACACCAAAAACTTTTTATCTCAGTATTTTCAAACTTACTTCTTTGTGATGTAGTTGCCTGTGTTACTTGCTAGGGCATGCTGCATTTATATGGCTTCCACCGTGACTAGTTGCCTTTACCTTTCCAGTGTCACTTGCTGCTTCAGGAAGAAGATCATCCTCCCTCCTCCCTGCAGAATCCAAAAGGGGCATAAATCATAATGAGACAAATAGTAGCCCTCTGCAGAGGAAATGATACCTTTTTGGGATGTCATTAGGGTGTTACCTTCTGTGAAACACATCTCCGTAGATAGCACTAATGTAAAGTGACTTGCTAGTAATACCCGAGGCATGTAATTTTGCATCTGTTGTGGCCTTTGACCCAGCAGAGCCTGATTATTCAATCCAAGCAGCAGAGTCCTTATGCATTTATGGCGATACCAAATCACTGTATGCACCTTATCCATTTCAGTGGAAAGTCAGCCACCTTAATGTAAGTGTCTGAGGAAGTAATTCAGTTTGACCATTGCGACTTCGTATTGAAACGGGTAATAGAGAATTCATTAATTTTTTTCCTACCTTCTTGTCACAAGATTAGTACAAGGGGAAGAGCATAGTAAACAACTCACTACAGTTTGTAGTACACAACCTTTGACATAAAAGATAAGACATTGATTTGTTTTGTGTCTGGTAACATCATGGGGTTTTTTGTAATGGTAAACATGATTAAGACGCAGTGTATCCCAAGGTACTTAATTTCATATGTGTTTTTCATCTATTGCCCTTCCCCTATTGCCCTTGAATTTTAGAATTAGAACTACATTCATGAAAGATTTGTTTCACTGAAATGACAGCGATGGCACAAGAGCTACTATAAATGGGTTTTGCTATATTAAAAGTTTTTAGTTTATGACTTTCAGAAATGGACGTCTTATGTTAGGCTGCTGAACGATATTTCAGAACCTGTCATATTTAACAAGAAGTTGTTATTTTAATACAACCAAAAGTTGTCACCATCGGTCTTCATTAGATGGAACTGCTTGATGCTAACTATTTGGAACTATTACATGCCAGCTATTTGGAAAATCACTTCTTTTTCTTCAGTTGTATTTTCTATGTTGACTCTAAAATGACTATTTGCTTGAAATCTAATTTGAAAGATGATTGTTAATTTTTTTATTTCTTTGTAAAGGTGATGATGATGAGATTCCGCAGGAATTGCTACTAGGTAAACATCAGCTTAATGAGTTGGGTAGTGAATCTGCAAAAATCAAGGCAATGGGCATTATGGACAAGGTACATCTTCATATACTTTAACTCTTTTTGAACTTAAAAGTTTTATAAACATACAGAAACTTATGTTGCATGTAATAGTAACATTAAACCCTCTTTAGGTGTGCATGTGACAGATACTGTGAACAGTTGTGCTCTAGCTGACTTAGCTGAAGTGCTTAAAAAGTTACCACATCAACTGTTACTGTCTCTGAAGCTGAGACAGTTCTGCAGAATGGTTCTTCTCTGTGTTAGTGCTGACTGTATGCCAATACGTAATACCCATGCCTGAGCAGTAAAATCTAAAATAATTAATCTACTTTCACAAAAGCATGACAGTCTGTAGGCTTTGCTCCTTACATCTGGCATTGAGCAACCAAGGTAAATCAAAACCTGCTGGCAAAGTGAAAAAAAATCCAACCATTCTGATACAATGCCATCAGTCCAATGTAAATGTATGACATTCAGCCAGCATCACACTGAATTGCCTGCTTCCTCCATCTCTCTAAAAAGGGCTTTCAATCTTAAAAGTTATAACACCCCAGGTAATTTTCTGTAAACTGCATATTGTGGTTTCTTTGCAATACTCTTCCTAACTTAAGTTCAAGGTAATATTTTGTTGGTGCAAACTGTTGGTATCACACATCTAGAAAAAATTTTCTTCTTTCCTTATCTTTTTAAAAGTCACTCTGAAGGGTTTTTTTAAATCCAAAATTTAGATATTAGAGTGGTAAGATCTCCCCTGAGCCTCCTTTTCTTCAGGCTAAACAACCCCAGTTCTCTCAGTCACTCCTCATAAGACTTGTTCTCTAGATCCTTCGCCAGCTTTATTGCCCTATTCTGGACATGTTCCAGTGCCTCAATGTTTTTCTTGTAGTGAGAGGCTCAAAACTGTACACAATATTTGAGGTTCATTCTCACCAGTGCTGAATACAGGGGGACAATCACTTCCCTACTCTTGCTGGCCACACTATTCCTGATACAAGCCAGGATGCTGTTGGCCTTCTTGGCCACCTGTGCCCACTGCTAGCTCGCATTCAGCTGCTGTCAACCAACACCCCTATGTCTTTTTCCTTCAAGCAGCCTTCTGGCCACTCTTCCACAACCCTGTAGAGTTGCATGGAGTTGTTGTTACCCAAGTGCGGGGTCACAACCTTAGCATTGTTGGACCTCATACAGTTGGCCTCAGCCCATCAATCCAGCCTATCCAGGTCCCTCTGCAGAACCTTCCTTCCTACCCTCAAGCAGATGAGTAGTCCTGCCCAACTTGGTGTCATCTGCAAACTTGCTGAGGAGGGTCCACTTGATCCCTTCATCTGGATCACTGAAAACAATGTTTATCAGAACTGGCCACAGTACTGAGCCCTGGGGAACACTACTTGTGGTTGGCCACCAACTGGGTTGAACTCCATTCACCACCACTCTTTAGGCCCAGCCATCCAGCCAGCTTTTTACCCAGTGAAGAGTACGCCTGTCCAAGCCACAACCTTATTCACTCAGCAGGTCACCTTGTTGTAGTAGGAGATCAGGTTAGTCAAGCAAGATCTGCCTTTCATAAACCCATGCTGACTGGGCGTGATCTTCTGGTTGTGCTGTACATGCCATGTGATGGCACTCAAGATGATCTGCTCCATAACCTTCCCCAGCACCGAGGTCAGACTGACAAGCCTGAGTGTTTCTCTTTCCTGGTAGTTCTCACCCTTAGCCTCTGTTCCCTAGTTTTCACACATACATACATGCACACACATATACATTAAGTCAGAATTTTGATGCTTCTAAAGATGAGTGCCAGTAGTATCTGGAATGAAACTGAAAAGTGTCTGAGTGAAACTGGCTCTCCTCAAGTTTAGCATATTCTAAAAATTATTTAATCAGCTTTCTGTAGAAAATTAGTGAGTGTGAGGTACCTTTTTCAGCACACTTAGTTTTTCAAAATGAACACTAATACTAAGAATACATTTCCTTTTTATTAACACTCAAGTATCAGTGAGTTTTATTTCTACTTGTTCATGGAATTTGGCTTTTCTCCTAATAAAGCACTATATGGTCAGTTAGAATTTGTGTCTCCATTTAGGGCTCAGGGCAAGCCCAGGGAGCAGGATTTTCTCTCTGTTGTCCCCCACCCTCCCAGGGGAGGATTAAAACAAAAGGGAATAGAGAAAAGATGCTTCATACAAGGTTGGAAGACTATAACAAGTTTAATGACAACAACAGGAGAAAGGAAAAGGGAATTAATAAGGGACAGAGGGTATTTAATTATATACAAAGCCTGATTCCAGTAGTCCCGAGTGGAAGTGTCCGAGCAGTGCCTCATGGCTGCTGTGACTCGTCACCAGGGACCACAGTGGTGCCGGGAGTGGATGGTGGTGGATGCTGCCGAGCACATGGAGGTAGCACCAACCATCCCAAGATGTCATCAGAAAACCACCCTGGAAGCCAGGAAAGACCGTGAAACCTCAGCCCTCCTTGATTTTTTAGACTGGTGCCAGAAAGGGGAGGGAACAGTACTGATCTCTGACCCTCCAGCGTCCTACAGACACCACCTGTCCTTCCCTTTCAGGCTGGTAACCATTAAACCATACCAATTTGGTAAATGTCTGTTTCTGGAAGCAAGTGTATAACTACAGAACACTATTGGCAGATACACAATTTTAAATCTATTTCTGTGGATTTTGCTGGTTGAAAAGGCAGTTTGGTTGCAATCTTAGAATATATTTCACCTAGTTTAATTATATTACCAGCATTCAGTTGTGCTCTGTGAGAAACCTAAGAGGTTACGATCAGATTCTTATCTCAAATTGCTTACTATTTAACTGTTTCATACTATATAACAAGTTCTGTCCTTTATCCATGGACAATTTTTTCAGCAATTTGGAAGCCTTCATGTTCCTGCAGTTGTTTAATGTGTTTCTTTTCTTGTTTCAGCTCTCAACAGATAAAACAGTAAAAGTCCTGAATATTCTGGAGAAGAATATTCAAGATGGATCAAAGCTTTCTACATTACTTAACCACGTGAGTTTCAAATTACATATTTTCACAACTTTGTGTAGAGTTTTCTTCACTTGAGTCCTATTTGGTGATAGTTTCAAATAATGTGTATGTAGGAATTTCTGATACAATAATATGTATGTGATTGAGAATTCAGAATCTTAAAATTTGGCAGTAAAATTAAATTCATAATATTTCTTCAGTACTAAACATGTTTACTTTAGTACTGAGCAACTGAGTTTTCTTTTGGTTTAGTCTTATGTATTATAGTTTAAAAATTACAGTTTCATCCTGAAATATTCATGGTAACTGGTGTAATTTGCACCATTGGACATTTCTCTGCTACTTTGCTGTGTGTGCATAAAACATCCTTTAGACGATGAAAGTAATAAAGCTCTCATGTATTCACTTTTCTTCTCCTTAGCATTAGGAAGGAAGGAAGGGCTTTATTTAGGTCTGTTCTTATACTGCAGTTAAAGCTCTCAGCATAAACAAAATTAACAGGAGGCTTAAGATTTTAGGGTGGTTTTTTTCCTTGATATACTTAAAACTACATGCGGATTTGAAGTTTTCATGAGGTTTATATATATTATTTCATATTTCATTTTTTTTTTATATCTGCACTCTATTTCTGCAGATCAGAGCCTTGATCTGCAGAACCTAGAGTGTAATCATTGATACTGGAAAGGAAGAATTTGAATTTGCAAATAAAAACTGGAGACACATAAAAATGGTGCTGCTTTAGCTGATGTACTTCACTGTGATTACATCTTTATGCTAATGATTCCAAAGTGATATTTTTCTTTTAGCTTTTTGTAGTAAAACTCAATATTATTAAGCAGTTAATGAAATTGTCTGATGATTGTAATTCAGAGACAAAACTTGGATTAAAAGAAGCAGCAATCTATAGCCAAACAAGGTTTACATTTTTCTTAAAAACTGCTAAATATGATTCAAATCATTATAGCAAAGAAAGCCTCTACTAAGGAGTAAGCTTACTTTTTTACAGTGCAGTGAAGATATTCTGCTACCATGTCAGGATGTTTTTCAGAGGCAGAGCACACCTGCATATTTTTTTTATTTTCAAGATTAATGAGAAAAAAATTAGCAAACATTTAAAATTGCTTGGGTTATTTTACTTAGTTTTATTTGTGTAAGGAACAAATGACTTAAAGTCATTCTGTGTAAGAAATTTAACAGAATCTTCTGATTTGCAGATTTCTATTGATTTTGCAAATTTATATACATACATATACTATATATAATGCACTGTGATATTGTTTTAGATTCTCTTACCCCAAAGGGTAAAAGCTGATATGGTTTCACCAACCCCTGTTTTTTACCATGAAAGCCAACAGCGTGGAACTGTGGTGTCACACAGGCAGGAAAGATTCTTTTTTTCTGTAGGCTGTACCTGGACCAGAGAAGCTATTGAAAATTCTACCTGGTTTTGCTATAAGTAATGTTACCATATTTCAGTAGTGCTGGGTGGTTATAATTAACCTATGTATGTTTGGGTTTGCAACTTGTTCAGACACAGAAATACAGAAATTCTGTACCTTGTGCTAAATCTAAATGGACGTATTTGATAAGACATGTTTTAAACCCATTGATAACAGATAGATTGGTCTATGAAGCAAAGAAAGTTGTGTACTTAAGAGTTTTGTGTGAAAAGAGTGGTATACTCTAGGAGTTTTGTTTGAAACAGTCTTTGTGTAAGAATTCCCTCTAGTGGCAAAAATGAGACTGATCAAAGCAGCAACTGATGTCCCTAGGACACTGAAGAAAGCACTAGATGAGAGTTTACTTAAGATACATCAGTCTTAAGTAGAGTATGTGGCAATTTTCCCTGATAGTACTTCCCAGAAAGCTTCTTTGTGTTCTGGCAAAATAGTATGGTGAGACATTAAAGACTTGTAATTTAGGGAGGTGTATTACAAACATAGTGCTACTAAAACAAACATTAGTTGATTTCTAAAACAAACTATTTTTGTATCAAAAAGAAAATAGAACATTTTAGACATGCATGCATGTAAGTATTAGGGTAATGTTATAATTTTTTCTTGGTAAGGATAAAAAACTGATTCTTATTCACACTGTCCTGTTTTTCTTGCCTGTTACAGAACAATGACACTGAAGACGAGGAGAGATTATGGAGAGATCTTATTATGGAGAGAGTGACAAAATCTGCTGATGCTTGTCTTACTGCTATCAATATAATGACATCACCAAATATGCCTAAAGCTGTATATATTGAGGATGTAATAGAAAGAGTTATTCAATACACAAAATTTCATTTGCAGAACACTCTTTATCCTCAGTATGATCCTGTGTATAGAGTGGATCCTCACGGTGGTTAGTATGCTACGAAATTTTTAATAGCCATTCCACATTAAAAAATACCAAAACATAATTTACTGTATGATGTAAGTGATATGGCTTTGTGGAATAGGATTTTTATATGCAAGTCTTATACTGTTAGTTCTTCCATATCGCATGCAGCATCCTGAATTAATGCTTTGTGTTAGTTTGAGGATGATGAAATGTAGAGTAAAGCAACAATTAATTAAATGCATCCTCTGAATAACTTAATCATACAGCATCTTGGTTTACTGCAATAGTATCAGTGTAACCAAAGTATTTGAACTAAGATATTTAGACATTTTTCTGAAGTTCAGCTTCTATGTATAGTTATTATATGTAGGAATAAGTCATTTTGGATCCAGAGTTACGTACAATTAAGAAAAATTAATGTCATATGTAATTCTTGCTTTCCAACTGATGCTAATAAATAGTGTTTCTTCTGTAAGCAATTGCTTTACAAAGATGTAGTCACACAGTTGTTTCGAGGACACTTTTTTGGGAAAATCATCTTTATAGTACTTGATGTGAAACATTGAAAAGATTAATGAGGATTTTTTTTTTTATTTTCCTAGGTGGTGTTTTAAGTTCAAAAGCAAAGCGTGCCAAGTGTTCCACCCACAAGCAAAGAGTTATAGTGATGTTGTACAACAAAGTTTGTGACATTGTCAGCAGCTTGTCAGAGTTGCTAGAGATACAGCTTCTTACTGATACAACTATTCTTCAGGTAAGTTTTATCAGAAGAATTTCTATCTGAGAATGTTTTTCTTTTCCCAAGGTAGAATGTAAAGTATGATTATATCAGCAACATGAAGTATGAAATAAGTAAAAACTTTTGAATTATTAACATCAGAGTGACTAGCTTGTTGCATAGTAGGTAATCTGCAGGAGAAGAGTATTTAATGTTCAAATCTTCAGGGGCTTCTCTTGTACACTTAAGACAACTTTAACATGATTGTATTCAAATATAGAAACGTACAATCATTTAACTTGGAAAAGACACTTAAGATCATCGACTCAAATCATTAACCTAACATTGCCCAGTCTGACACTAGATCAAGTTCTGAAGCACCACATCTACATGTCTTCTAACTCCACCACTTCCCTGGGCAGCCTGTTCCAATGCCTGACAAGCCTTTCAGTGGAGAAATTTTTCCTCATACCCAAGCTAAACTTCCCTTGGCAGAACTTGAGGTCATTTCCTTTCATCCTGTCACTTGTTAAGTGGGAGAAGAGGCCAACTCCCACCTCGCTACAGCCCCCTTTCAGGCAGTTGTAGAGGGTGATGAGGTCTCCCCTCAGCCTCCTTTTCTCAAGTCTATACAACCACAGTTCCCTCAGCTGCTCCTCACAGGACTTGTTCTCCACTATCCTTTAATAACTTTATTTGCAAATAATATGAAGTAATACATCATATTGAATACCTTAGTTGCTGAATGAATAACCTAGTTGTGAAACTGCATAAGTATCAGTTTTAGTCAAATATACTTACAATAATTTCTTTCCTCGATGGAAATAGGTATCATCTATGGGAATAACACCTTTCTTTGTAGAAAATGTCAGTGAACTACAGTTATGTGCCATCAAGTTAGTCACTGCAGTAAGTACTTCTTAATTTGTGGTTTCATGATCCTGTACTTCTGCTAGTTATTAGGGCATCTACATAGGCTGTATTTTCTCTCTGGAGTCTGGAAGCTTAGTATTACTGTTTGACTTTCCTGTACGGTGTATTCTCCCACTGACAGAAATTTTTAAAACATAAGGTATTATTAAGAACTATTACACATTTGTGTTGTTTAAAATTTTTTTAAATCTATATTTGAGATTTTTAATGTATTTTATAAAGAAATGCTTACTTTGAAAAAACAAAGTAATATATTTAAAACAAGGTATGTGTTAATTGTAATTTAAATGTCATGTAAAGTGTATGTTTCTTATATAATTTTAGCAATATACTTAACAAGGGGTATTTCATGTAATAATAAATAATTTTCTAACAATCCTGTATCTGTTAAAATAGGTGTTCTCCAGGTATGAAAAACATAGACAGTTAATATTAGAAGAAATTTTCACTTCCCTTGCGAGACTACCAACTAGCAAGAGGAGTTTAAGAAACTTCAGGTAATTTCTCATATAGATTAATAACTTGTAGACAGTAGTATTTACAGTTCTGTAGATGTAGGATTTTAGGCTTCAGTATTGACTAGTTCTTTAAAAATCTGCAACTCCACAAGCTGTGCTTTATTAGAGGTTGATATTTCAAAACAGTGAGAGCAGAATTGCCTGACAAATGTCTTGTAATAATCACTCTTTCTTATGCCATCATATTTGTGCCTGGTTACAAAAATAATAGAAATATCTTATTACTCACTGAGGATGTAAATGAGTGTAATGTTAGTGTGCAATCAGAGGTGGATTTTTTTTGTTGGAAAACTCTTTGGTTCCGTTTGTATAGAATTACATAACTACTTCATTGCTAAAGCTTAATAAGGAAAATTCTGCTGAATTTCTTTGAGAACACAGAGCACTCCTTTCAGGAAAGAAAGCAATCTAATATCCCTTTTAATTAGTTTCTTTTAGGAACTATTCTGTTCTCTTTAACTGTCTTTAAAGCACTTCAGCTGGATTTCAGTGCATCTTCAGAATAATAGTGTAGGTTCAGGTTAGATATGAAGAAGTATCTGACTTGAACTGGATTTCAGTTAAAATGAGGTTGAGACACTTTTAATGATTCTAAACAAACATTTCTTGTTGGGGTTGATTTTGTTCCTTGCTTGCTTACATCTTGCCCCCAGAGACAGACAACTTACCAATTAAATATTTTGTCCAGTCCAGGGTAGATGAACAGGAAATACCCAGGAAAAGAAATACACTGAAACTTTGAAGTTTAATTCAGCAGTCTTAATGTTAACATGAGTGCTTATTCCTAGTATTTCCTGTTGTTTTGGATTATAGACATCAGAGAGATCTAGCAAATAGAAAAGCAGAAGGAATAGGAGCACAAATGGTAGATACACTCTTTGAATTAGCACCTGTACCAGAAAGAAGTCACTTTCTCAAGGCCACAGCAACTGCACTGTTTACCTGTAGGGTCCTAACTCTGTTCTGTTAAAGGACATTCTGTAACTGTGGATACAGTCATGAAGGGTACAGCTTACACAAAATTTGGTATGAAAAGATTTTCTCTAGCAGTAGTCAAAGGTAACTTTATCATAAAGATAATAATTACAGTCTGTTTTGTGCCTAGTTAGTATTTTGATAATTCCTGACAATGATATAGAGAATTATCGCCTTTTCACATTGTTAAGGATAGCAGTAGGTGGTGGTGATGTATATATATGAATAGTAAAAACCATACTATTTCTCAGGTTATATCATTTGGAAGGGGAGAAATGTGGAGTGTATTAACACTGGTCTTACCAACTTATTGACACACTTAGACACTTGCATGCTGAAGTTACGAAGCCTGTTATGCTGCCTCAGGTGTAACTCCATAGGTGTAACTCTTGTAGCAGTCAGTTCAGGTCATGGTCACCATTTCCTGTTGTTTAAAAGTCCTACACGTTTCACATACTTGAAATAATAGATAAGTAGTAAATTACTAGGGCAACAGTTTGGTGTATTTTTTGTGCTGTGTTGGAAATGTTTATGTTATTATACGTAATAAACCTATTTTTGTTTTGTCTTTCTTGATTAGTTTTGGTGTTAATGCTGTCTTCTTTTATTAACAGGTTAAACAGCAGTGACACTGA